CCCTGGCCCCGGCCGGCCGCATCACCACGCCTGCAGATGCTGCTGTTTGCAGAAGCTCAGTCCGCTTTCCCCGGGCCACGGATGCAGCCAAGGATGGAGCTACCGCATCAGCAGTCAGTCACAGGCCTGGCGGAGAGCGCAGGAGCCGGGCCCCTGCTCCACAACTGAGGTGTCCATCGAGCGTCCAGTCATGAACCCGGCCCAGCCGAGTCCCCGCGCGGATGACAGAGTGCAGAGACCAAGGCGGCGGCGAGAATGGCATGCGGCATGCGAACTCGAAGACGCACCCAGGGATCCATAACTAAATGCCGGTAGGGGCTTGTACCGCAGTGTTTCTCTGTCCCCCACTCTCCCACCGCTGCCTGTCTCCCTCTTCCCTCTCCACTCCTCCTCTCGCTCCCCTTCCTCGCGTTCCCTTCCTACTTCCCTCTCCTGCTTGAGCCTCCAAGACAGTGAGGTTGCTATAGGCTTGGGCCGGGCTGAGTGACCTGCAGCCGGAGCTCTGAATAGGCTGGTCTTCTGGAAGCCCTCCTCACCCTGTCACCTCTATGTCTTCTGAGGATGGAATCCATTGGTACAGAGAAAGAGGGCCTGTGTAAGCTGGGGTAATGCAAAGCGCTACTCATAGCCCACCTTGTACTGATTATTCATTAAGCCTCAGGGTGCCCTGTAAGATGGGCAGACGCAGTGTGTGATCTGAAGTCTGGACAAGTTAGCTACTTAACTAGATCATCTGTGTTGGTTATAGTAGAAGGACCTAAACCCCATTCCTACAGCTTTAGAAATAGGTAGATTTGTGAGTGACTATACTTGGCTTTGCTTTCTTTTCCTTCTTATGTTTTGCTTGCTTGCTTTGGTTTTGTTTTTTGTCCCCAGCATCCCAATGCCTTGCTGTATCTGGGACATTTCCTTCCTCGTGAAACACAGACCTTTAAACACCAGTATCACTTCCAGAGAGGTCAGGGGATGCCGATACAAAACAACACAGGGTTAAGATACATTCAGAACTCCCATCTTGCCCTCCTAGGGGTGGGGTGTGTGTGCTCAAGGGGACCGGCCGACCCTGTTTGAAATGTGACTCTCTTTCTCCCTTTTTGGTCAAGCAGAGACCTGCAGTGGCATTCCTCTGAATCAAGCGTTTGTTCCACACAATTCAGCTGAAATGTAGATTGTGATAACTGGAAGTGTGCTCCAGAGCAGGGAGGCCAAGTGTGGGCATCCAGTCTCACTGGGGGTCTGGGTCAGGGGAAGCCTATAGAGGGCATGCTCACTCTGAAGATGGGTTGATGGCTGGCTACACAGAGGCATGGCGGTGAGAAACGGCAGGATGGATTCAAACACAAAAAGGGCGAGCGAGAGCCAGGTAGATTTAGACAGCATGGCAACAGGTCTCCCCTCAACCCTGATGAATTCTGGTGATTCAACATTGTTTCCTGATAAATTGAGGAAAGCCTCCAAAAGGTTGTCAGCCTCAGGAAGGGGCTTTGGAAAAGCCTGTGGACACTGGAGAACATTCCACATCGGCCAGAGAAGTAACTGGACATGTGGCCTCCCCCAGGGGGATTTGCTCATTTGTGCTGCACATTAAACAGTGAGTCAGTGAATGCCAAAGGTGAGGAATAACGATGACAGCACTTAACCTCAAGGTTAGTATTTCCTAGTTTTCATGAAGTTTAAAATTGAAGACCCAGAATTGTAAAGGCTCAATAAAGACCTGGAAGTGAGCCGGGCATTGGTGGCGCACGCCTTTAATCCCAGCACTCGGGAGACAGAGGCAGGCGGATCTCTGTGAGTTCAAGACCAGCCTGGCCTACAAGAGCTAGTTTCAGGACAGGCTCCAAAGCCACAGAGAAACCCTGTCTCAAAAAACAAAAAACAATAAAACAAACAAAAAAAAGACCTGGAAGTGGCAGGCATGCTTGTGATTCATGAAAAGGAAAGGAGAGGAGCTCCAACAGGGCATGAGGAGGAGGAGAGCATTGCTCCCCCCAGAGGAACGCATGTGCTCCTGAACTTTGTGCATCTGAGATCTATCTGGAAAGGATGGGGCAATTAGACCCTAAACTGTTGTTAGAAGACACCTTGCTTTCCCTTTCAGAATTCTTGTTTCTTGCCTGGTTCTTCTCCCCTTTATTTATATATTTATTTAGATGGTCTTGCTGTGTAGCTCAGTTTGGCCTCAAATTCCTATCCTCTTTCCTCACCACCCCCCATGCTAACATTTCAGATGTACAACCGTTTGTTTCCTGTCTTCCTGTTAAAGCAGCACCTACCTTGATCACCGTGACAAATCCATTGCAATTCGGAAATGCACTCGGGGCTGGGGACATGGCTCAGCAGTTGAAGCTCTTGGTGCTCAAGCAGAAGAATTAGATCTCCCAAAGTCCACAAAAATCCCAGGTGGGCAAAGCAGTCTTGAAAGACAGGATCGCTCTTTGGTCTAGAACTCCCCACCATTTAGGCTAAACTAGCTGTCCAATGGGCCCCAGGGATCTGCCTGTCTCTGCCCCCTCAGGCCTGGGATTACAAGCACAGACCACTGGGGTTTTGGGGCGGGTGGTTGAGGCAGGGGTTCCCTGTGGGTTTGGAGCCTATCCTGGAACTAGCTCTTGTAGACCAGGCTGGGCTCGGACTCACAGAGCTCCGCCTGCCTCTTCCTCCAAAGTGCTAGGATTAAAGACGTGCGACACCACAAAAAAAAAAAAAAAAAAAGCGGCCATACCTAGCTTTTCTTAACCTGGGTTCTGGGGATGAGACTCAGGTCCCTGTTCTTGTACGGCTAGCACTTCACTTTCTGAGCTGTCTGTCCTGCACTTGGGAGACAGAGACAGGAGGATCTCTATGAGTTTGAGACCAAGCTAGTGTAGAAAGTTCCGGGCCAGCCAAGATGACATAGTGAGACAATGTCTCAAAAAGGGAGGGGGATGCTAGAGAGATGGCTGAGCAGTTACAAGTACTTGCGACCCTTGTAGAGAACCTATGTTAGGTTCCCAGCACCTTCTGGAACTCCAGCTCCAGGGGATCCAATGCCCTCTTCTGGCCTCTCAGGCACAAGGTGTGCACACACACACACGCGCACACACACGCGCACACACACACAGTCAAAACACACTTAAAATAACGTTTTAATGTCATGTCAGGACAATTTAATGATAACTAGTGACAATAGCAACACCATCAAGTTGTGCATGCTCTACACCACAATTCTGTCCTAAATATTTACCCTCAAGTGTGCAGAACAGAGGCTGGCAAGGCAGCTCATCAGATGAGGGTGCCAGCTCCAACCCTGTCAACCCAACGGAGGAGAAAAATGACCCCTGCAGGTTGCCCTCTGACTTCTGTGCCTGCCTTGGCTCTTATGTGAATAGACACAAATAAATAAATAAATAAATAAATAAATAAATGTAATTAAAGACTTTTAGTTATTGTTTCTTTTTTTGTTGTTTGTGGGGGTTTTTGTTGTTGTTTTAAATGGTTTTGGTTTTCTGAGAAAGGGTTTCTCTGTGTAGCCCTGGCTGTCCTGGAACGTGCTCTGTAGACCAGGCCAGCCTCAAATTCATAGAGGCCAGCCTGCCTCTGCTTCCCGATTAAAGGTGTTCAATATAATGCCTAGCTGATTTTAGAAAATTTTAAGTGAGCTGGAATGATGGCTCTTACTGAGGACCAGAGTTGGGGCTCCAGTCGTTATTTCAGGCAGCTGACAACTGACTGGAGCTAGGGAATCTGACACCCTCTTTTGTCTTCCACAGGCATTGCGGGTACATGCACAGACCCACACATAGACACACATGTATGAACATTATTAAAAGTAAAAAAAAGCCAGTGTGGTGGCTCACCTCTTTAATCCCAGTACTCAGGAAGGAGAAGTAGGTAGATCTCTGTGAGTTCAAGGGCAGCCTGGTCTACAGAGTGAGTTCCAGGATAACCAGGACTGTTATACAAAGATACCCTGCCTTGAAAAACCATAAAAAAATAAATAAAGTGACTGAATCTCAAGAACACAATCTGAGGCTGGTAAATTGGTTCAGTGGGTGAAGTCCCACGCTGCCAGACTAGACGACCTGGTGCCTGCCTGCACAGTGGAAGGAGAGGCTGACCCCTGCAAATTGTCCTCTGACCTCTATGCATTCTGAGGTTTGCTGCCAGCTGCAACGGGTGGGATGAAAGTACAAAGCCCTCAGTGGTTCAGTCTCACAACTTGGTAAGTCTCTGATCTCAAATGGGCAACTCCAGATGAGGCCAGGCAGGACAAGAGGGAGCCCAAGAAGTTGTCAGGACAGATTCTGTTCCTGAGGCTAGAATACCTCCTCTCCTGTGGTGTGACCTCAGACATGAGCTGTCTGGGGCTGGCCCTCTGAGTCAGCCCTGAGTCCCACCTACACGCCTTCCCCGTGGGGTGTCAGGACTCAAAGCCTTCTTTCAGAATGAGGCCAGGAGAACCAAGGCTGTAATGTGACCAAGTACAGATGAATAATTGGTGTGTTTAAATATTAATAGGAAGTAGCCTTTGTAGCCAAGGAAATTCAAAACAGATTGTCATAGAACAAGCTCTCTAATCTAGACCCAAGTCAAACAAATAGAAAATAAGAAAACCCTCGAAACTCCTAAATCTCCTTAATGATGGAAACCTACTCAGAAGAAATCCTACTTTTATGTAAAAGTGATGTCATAAGAATCAGTTTCAGTCTCTGAACATGGCAGCACACACACATCTTCCATCACAGCGCTTGTGAAGCAGGAGAGCAAATGTCTATAGTTCAAGGCCAACCTGTTCTACACAGCAAATTCCAGCCCATCCAGGTCTAAAGGGGGAGACCCCGGCTCAAAACAACAACAGAGACCCACCAAATTCTTGTAAGGTTTTTTTGAAGGGCGAGGGGCAATAATGGGAACCAACCAGAGCTTTGTTCATGCTGGACAAATAACTGCTCAGCCACTGAGCTATAGGTCATCTTGTTTAGGCCAGGCTAGCCTTGAATTTCCATTTATCCAAGGCTGCCCTCAAACTATCTGGTTTAGTTTCATTTCTGTTGTTGAGATAAAATATCCTGGGAAAAGACATCTTCAGAAAGAAACGGTTTATTTTATCTTACAATTCCAGATTATAGTCCATCATTGTCAGGGAATCATAGCCGGAGCTGGAAGCAGCTAGTCCATGATGTCCACAGTCCAGAACAGAGAAAAATAAATACAGCCTTCCTGACTGGTATTCAGCTAGCTCTTCCTACTCCCCACTCATGCAGTCCTGGGCTCAAAACCAGGGAACGGTGCCTCCCACTTAGCCTGGGTCTTCCTTCAGTGAAGGCAGTCCAGACAGTCTCCCACAGCGACTCTTTCCTGGTGGTTCTAGGCTGTGTCTTGTTGACAGTTCAAACTAATCAGCACAGATGGGCAGTCCCAGCAGGTGTGAGGTACTAGGATGAATCCCTAGCACCACATAACAAAATAAAATTCCTAATAATTATATAGGAATCAAAGGACTAAGATGAGGTCAGTGAACCTGTAGAGTGGATGGGGGACCCAGGGATAAACCTAGAAAATTAACACTTCCTGACATGGCCAGGCATGATGATACACACCTTTAATCCCAGCACTCAAGAGGCAGAGGCAGGAAGAGTCTCTGAGTTCCAGGAAAGCCTGGTCTACTGAGCTAGTTCAAGGGCAATCAGGACTGCACAAAGAAACCCTATCTCAAAACAAAATTAACATTAAACCTATTTAAAAAATAAAAACAAATATAAGCTCTAAAATCTAAAACTCAAATTTTTTTTAATGCAATAGTTTTTCAGACAAGATGTCAAAAATAACAAAATAGTGAGGATTCTGTGTTGGAAAGGACACTATCGAGAGAGCACTTGCTGCTCCCACAGAGGACGGGTTCAGCTCCCTCCCCTGTGGTGACTCCAGTTCTAGGGGATCTCCCTGCACATTCATTTGTCTGCACATATGTCTACATAGGCAGATGCACGTGCAGACAAAACAGCTGTATATGTGAAAATAAATTTTAAAAAATTAAAAGACAGAAACAAGAAAGGCTGGAAAGACAGCTTAGCCATTGAGAGTGCTTGTTGCACTTGCAGAGGACCCAAGTTCAGTTCCCAATGCCTGCTTCATACAATTCACAGTCACCAGGGCATGCAGTCCAATCTTCTGGCCTTGAAAGGCATGCAGAAGCTCTCTCTCTCTCTCTCTCTCTCTCTCTCTCTCTCTCTCTCTCTCTATCTCTATCTCTTAAAAAAAGTTTTAAAGCAAGACAAGCACTAAGCAGAGGAGACATAGCTCGCTTGGCAGAGTGCTTGCCTAGGATGTATGAAGTTCCCAGCACCCACAAACCAGGCTGTGGGTGCACAACTGTAATCCCAGCACTCCAGAGCTAGAAGGATAAGAAGGTCAAGTTCGTCCTTGATGAGACAGTGAATTGGAAGCTAGCTGGCTACATGAGACATGAGAGACAGACAGACACACATGCACAGAGGGAGAGAGAGAGAGAGAGAGAGAGAGAGAGAGAGAGAGAGAACAAGTAATAGAATAAAAACTTTGCAAGTTACATATCTCTAGGGATGTTTATGTTCAATATATAAAGAACTCAACAGCAGCTGGGTGTTGGTGGTGCACACCTTTAATCCCAGCACTCGGGAGGCAAAGGCAGGTGGATCTCTGTGAGTTCGAGACCAGCCTGGTCTACAAGAGCCAGTGCCAGGATAGGCTCCAAGCTACACAGAGAAACCCTGTCTCAAAAAAAAGAAAGAAAGAAAGAAAAAGGAAGAAAGAAAGAAAAGAAGTAGTCAACAGTAAAAAGACACAAAGCAATGTTAAAATGGATGGAAACACTGATTAGACATTTCTACAGAGATATATACAATATACAGGGCCTTATGCACATGAACAGATGCTCAGTATCATGAGCTATTGTGGAACTGGATACCACTTCACACCCTCCAGGGTTAGCTGTCATCAGAAAGTGACAGGGAGGATAGGGTGACAGAACAATGGCTCAGCAGATAAAAGCCAGGGCTGCTCTTGTAGAGGACCTGGGTTCAGTTCCCGGTACCCATGCGTGTTGTGTGTTGTGTTTGTTATTGCTCTCTGCTCTTTGGGCTTTTTGAGGAGCCCACCACCCAACTCCCAAATAAATCACACAGTCTTATTATTACTTACGAATGCCTGGCCTTAGCTTGGCTTGTTGCTAGCCAGCCTCTCTTAAATTAACCTGACTGCCTTTTCCCTCTGGGCTTTTATGTTTCTTCCTTCTGTATGTCTTTCTTACTCTGTGGCTGTCTGGGTGGCTGGCCCCTAACATCCTCTTCTTGTTCTCTTGCTCCTTCTCTTCCTTGGTTCTTCTATTTATCCTCTCTGCCTGCCAACCCTGCCTGTCCTTTCTCACGCCTAGTTATTGGTTGT